CTAGTTTCTCAGTTAAAATCTCACACACATAAACACACATCCCGTTTGACTCTCCATTTAACCTGCATCAGTTGATCTTGGGAACAGCCCTGGTAGCACAAACAGATAAGATACTTTGCTCAAAGAAAATTAGAAGGCCGCTATTCCAAATCTCACCATTTCCACTGCAGAGACTGGAACAATGAACCATTCTTCTCAAAACAGGAATACAAAAGTAACAAAAGGAAAGAAAACAAGTGTTTGGAAGTACATGTGTTAAAATTAACAGCAGCCTTGGAAAACAGGAGCCATCAAGAAAACAACTCTGTTTTTATTCTTTCCAACAAGAACTGCAAATGTGTAACATCTTTTTCTTGCTTTCCCTTTTTTCTCTTCTTCAAAATTATTTTCTTAAATATTGAGCCAGCATTAGAATGATTCACTGGACGGAGGAAAAACAAGATAAAGGATCAATGTTACTAAATGTTGGAAGCTTAGGTGCACAAAGAGAAACAATACTATCCTGGGAAATGATGGAATCCCTGATATTTTTACAATGATGTACAGAAACTCAGGAGTTATGGCACATGCTGAGCAAAAAGCAATGAGATTTTTTATCTGAGTTGCATTGGAATATTAATAGTTTTGGAGAAAAGCAAGGCCTTTAAAGAATTGTGATGGCAACAATCATTTAGCTTAAGCAAGCAGAAATAAGAACATAATCAACATCAAAAAAATTAGGCATTGGTTTAAGAATATAAAAATTAAGTGATGATGAACCTCAGCTATATATGACTTCCCCACAAATGATGGATGTTTCTGAGCTTGAAAAGGAAAATGAAAAGGTTTATGATTTGGAAATTCAGGGCAGCATCCAATGCTCTTGTTCTATTAGATTTATGCTTTTGCAATGGAAATTCTCACCGTTCCCCAAATCTGCTATGGAGGGCTGGGAAAAAACTCATAACAGATTTAGCAGGTCCACGGGTTATAGGGAGGAGAAGGGAGAAGTTCCATTGCACAGGTATAAATCCCTTCATTAACTAATTCACTTACTTAATTCACTACCAGACATCTGAAGGCAGCCCTGTTTAGGGAAGCTTTTAATGTTTGATGCATTATGGTATTTTAATATTTTGTTGGAAGCTGCCCAGAGTGTCTGGGGAAGCCCAGCCAGATGGGCGGGGTGTAAATAAATTTATTATTATTATTATTATTATTATTATTATTATTATTACTGCTTCATTGGATTCAACCCTCAGAATGCAATAACTAAAAAATAAATAACTGATAAATAATTGTCAAAGGGGGTAGTAATGAGGCAATGAAGCAGAATATATAGCCTCTGTTGCCCAAACACCAACCTCATCTACTGTCCAGAATGGATTTGGTATACCCTGTTCATGCAGACGAGGCTCTGACAACCAAAGCACAGTGGGAGAACTGTTTCAACTAGGTCTAAGGAAATGTCGTCCCATAGTAAAAGCTAGTGCCTTAAAGCTACATTTAACTTTCTCCATTAACTCAGAACGCCACACCATTAAGTGCCTTGTCTAACCTCTTTTTTTTCTTAATGGGTCTGTTAAAATTCAGTGCTGGTTTTTTATGATGTGGATGACATCAACAATACTCTGGCCTTGTATCTCCTGGGAGCTATGATGGTACGCAAAGCTAGGAGAAAAGGGCAGACTGACCAACCAGAGGAGGAAGAAAGATGTGGCGGTGGTGAAGGTTGCAGGGGACCATCACTGCAGACTGAATAAGTGGAATTTGTTGTTGTTTAGTCCTTTAGTCGTGTCCAACTCTTCGTGACCCCATGGACCAGAGCACCCCAGGCACTCCTGTCTTCCACTGCCTACCGCAGTTTGGTCAAACTCATGCTGGTAGCTTCGAGAACACTATCCAACCATCTCATCCTCTGTCGTCCCCTTCTCCTTGTGTCCTCCATCTTTCCCAATATCAGGGTCTTTTCCATGGAGTCTTCTCTTCTCATGAGGTGGCCAAAGTATTGGAGCCTCAGCTTCAGGATCTGTCCTTCCAGGGAGCACTCACGGCTGATTTCCTTAAGAATGGATAGGTTTGATCTTCTTGCAGTCCATGGGACTCTCAAGAGTCTCCTCAAGAAACCATAAAAACTCTGCATAAAACTTTTGTGGACAGTGGGTGGTTTTTATTTCTTTCCCAAATTTGCTTGCTCTCTTCTATATAAAATCAAGGCCAAAGAAGGTCCCTCCCCCCCGAAGTGGTAAGACAGACATAATAATAATTTCCCATAGTTAGGGATGAACAGATCAGTCTGTTTCTGGTTCATGTCGATTTTGCATGTGACTATAAGTCCCAATTCTTTTCTGCATTAATCTGTACTACAAAAATATATCTAAATACTATTTTATTACATCATTTATCATATTTCTAAACTTATAAGAACTCACTCCGTGGCCAACTGAGCACTGTTTAGAGAGCACAACTGTACCTACCATGTGACAATAAAGGCAGCAAAGGAATCCTACCTTACTGCTTCTATTACATTCTCAAGTGATCATCCAGCAGCTTATCTGGGACCTGATACAAGTTACAAGAAAGGAGATTCTGACTAATCATCAGGAATAACTTTATAACAGTAAGAGCTGTATGACAGTGGAACCGACTCCCTCGGGAGGTTGTGGACTCTCCTTCACTGGAAATTTTTAAGCAGAGGTTGGATGGCCATATGTCATGGATGCTTTAGCTGAGATTCCTGCATTGCAAGGGGTTGAACTAGATGACCCACCCAACTCTGCAATTCTATGTTTCTACGTATGACACTTGGGATTTTTTATCAACTATTTTTATTGACATGTAAGTCAATAAAAATTATTGACGGCCTCGGTCAGTATACCTGAAGGAGCATCTCCACCTCCATCGTTCTGCCCAGACACTGAGGTCCAGCGCCGAGGGCCTTCTGGTGGTTCCCTCGCTGCGAGAAGCCAAGCCACAGGGAATCAGGCAGAGGGTCTTCTTGGTAGTGGCACCCGCCCTGTGGAATGCCCTCCCACCAGATGTCAAAGAGAAAAATAACTACCAAACTTTTAGAAGACATCTGAAGGCAGCCTTGTTTAGGGAAGCTTTCAATGTTTAATAGGTTATTGTATTTTAGTGTTTTGTTGGAAGCTGCCCAGAGTTGCTGGGGAAACCCAGCCAGATGGGCGGGGTATAAATAATAAATTATTATTATTATTATTATTATTATTATTATTATTATTATTAGTTGGGTTTCCCCCCTATATTGTACACCACCTTATATCTTTTATGAAAGTGTAGTTTATAAACATTTAAAGAAAGAAAGAAAGAAAGAAAGAAAGAATAACTAATAGTAGATTACCTTGCTAAGTTTTTGTGTAATTTGAGGCAGCTTGACAATTATGACAACATTCCAGTCTGTTGCGATGGTAGATAGATGGTTGATGAATAGATAGATAGATAGATAGATAGACAGATAGATTTCCCCCAAAGTAAACTAAAGGGATATATTTTTTTCCTAGAGGAGCACGCAAGGCATATAAATGACATCCCAAAGTGCAGCATCTGGAAGAAGCCAGGTATATTATTCATTCTGTAGGCAGCACAGTTCAAACATCACAGAAGGGTGCACAAAATGTTTGGCCAGCCTCCAAGTGATTGCAATTAAGCCCCCACTTCCTGTCCCCCTCTCCGGGCATTGCTCTAATTATACATTCCAAATGGCAATCTGCAGGTGATGTGTGAAGCAACCCAAACGACACATTAGAGTCATTATATTTTTATTCTTACACAAGGAACACTGTCCCGGAGCATCAAGAGGATGCTGTCGTTGGCTATCTGCCTGTTATTTGAGCAGCTGCAGAAATGCATCCTGAATGGCAATTAAGTCACATGGAGCATCACTCTCCTTTTCGTGAGTCGCTCCACCAGCCAGCAGCAAAATGCGAGCTCTTAGCATTTCTCAAAGTCAATATATGTCCACAGGATACGATTATCATGTTAAAAGTGAATTCAGCCCATGTTACTAGAAATTCCAATATTTTGAGGTCAAGCATCATTCTGCAAGGCATGCAGAAGGCAAACTGGGGATTGGTCTGTAACAGTTTCTAGCAGAAAACCCAGAGATTTTCAGCATTTGTCATTCACATGTCAGCAGAGCAACCACATTACCCAGAAACAACAGGAATCTAATCAGCTTTGTGATGTCTCTTTTGGGCAACCGATTCCTCAGTCACTTTTATTTAATCTGTTCTGAAGACAAGGCTTTCATATTCTCCCCAGCACGTAAGCTCCCAGTTGTTCCATAGACACACGATTTCTCAGGTGTGGAATGGCAGGTTGGAAATAGTTTTAAGGCCCATTCCAATTTGGCTCTTGCCTCAGTGTGTTTTAATAACTTCTGCAGAGAAATGATGACAAATGAGTGAATGCGAAGGAACCACCTTGCCCCGCTCTACAAGCAGTATGGGAGTGTCTGTGCCCCAAGATAATGTATAAACCAACCCTGCATTTTTTTTTTAAACTAAAAAGTTACAGTTTTACGGGAGGGAGGGCCTTAAACCCTAGAAATTAATAAATGGTAGGATTTTAATTATTTGGAGTATAGAAGGGAAGACAAGCCGGGTGGTTGAGACTGAAACAGGAAAGGAGAACTGGAATGAAATATACTCGTCGAGAGTGGATTTCATGCTCTTTATTCAGCTCATAGTGGTCAGGAGGAATAGAAGTTTCCCCAGAATGTCTGCTTTATATACATTATTTACACAATGGGCCCCACGTGATTGGCTAATTCCGGGATTCTCCTGTAGGCCAATCATGTTGCGGATTCATTTCCACCTGGAGCTGGATTGGGTGGCTCCTGTGAACCAATCAGACTGTTGCATTCTGGATCCTATTGTTCTAGGACCAATCAGACTATTGCATTCTGAATCCTATTGTTCTAGGACCAGACTGCTGCATTCTGAATCCTATTCAACTCAGTACATAACATGGAACAATAGGTGTCAGAGGATCAAAAGCTGGGAGCATAAGAGAAGATGAAGGAGCCATGTGAAGAGGCACAGCATATGTTTTCCTCACTCTGAATTCATTGCAGGGCTCCTATGATACCTACAGCTTCTTCTCAAAGCCCCCATTCTTAGACAGTAGATCCAATCTCATCAAGGGCGTTGGCATGCGACATCAGGACGTTGTGCGACATCACGTTGGGCCCCCTCAATTGTCCGGAGAAGCTGGTGCCTCTGAATCTCACAATGAGCAGAAGGGAGCTTCTTCAGGGTGGTGTCTTCTGCAGGGAACAGCTTTCTAACTGTGGCACTGATGGCCAGAAGGTCCACCCTCTCTCCTCACATCAATATCACCATGAGTGTGGATGGACTTAGATCAGCTATCCTTATTGCCTTTCTTCATTTTGTCCCTCAAAAGCATCCCTGTGTGCTTTTCAAGAACTGCTGCATACATGCAAAGGTCATCAAACAGCAAGTGGCAGAGAGTTAGAGCAGGGCAATGAAGATAGCACTCTGTCTACGTTAAAATCTTGCTGACATCCCAGTGTTCATCTGCCAGCAAGCATTTGATGCCTTTAATGACATAAAAGGAGCTGTGCTGGATCATACCAAATATGTATTCTACTGCAGCATCTGATCCTACAGTGGCTGTTCAGCTGCCCAAGGTAAGCCCTGAAGCAGGATATGAGCACAACAGCCCTTTCCTGCTTGCCTTTTTCTTTTTCTTTCTTTCTTTTTTTGTTAAATCGTTTTTATTAATTTTCCAATAAAAAAACATCCAATTAACATATCAAATCATAATCCAATAAAAATAAAAAACTAAAATAAAAAATACCAAATTGTCATCCAAATTATAATTATTAATATTTCAGGGCTTCCCATAGTCTGGATGTTGAAGCATATCTCCAAATCTCAGTCCTGCCGTCTTTTTCTTTTTAATTACTGATTTTCTTCAGATAACCAAAACATGCATTCATCAAGCAAACAAGGCACACATAACAAAACTTGACTGTAAGCTTAGTTCCGGCGCTGCTTGTAAATGCACAGAAAGAAGGTAAAACCAAAACAATCGTGGAGAAGATGTAGAAATAGTGATATGGAATGCCAACAAAGTTAATGTATAAATTTTAAGCTGAAGGCCAAAAATGTTTGGGTATGATACCAGTCTGTAATGGATAATGGAGATCTGGAGAAAGAACTGTTCCCTGTTACTGCAAAACATATTCGACAAATGAAAACCATATAACCAAGAATGGTATTTTAGATTAAACCCCCTCTAAGTTGTCAGCTACACTCTGTAACTTCTTCTGCAATCAGTAACTGCCACAACTTATTCCCTTTAGAGTACAATGGGAATGATATATCCAATGCTGGGCCATTTGTAGCCTAGCTGCTGTTACTAGGTGGATGATTAGATCCTTGTATAACACATTGTGCATGGTTTCTGGAAAGAGTGATAGCAATGTCAGACCTGGGTCTGGAAGAATAATTTATTGCACCATTGGAAGACATAGTTTGAAAAAGCCTTTCCTCAAAAAATCATAGAATCACACAATCATAGAATTGTGGAGTTGGAAGGGACTCCAAGGCTAGCCCAGCCCCTTGCAAAGCAGGAATCTCAACTAAAGCATTCATCCAGCCCCTGCTTTAAAACCTCAAATGAAGGAAAGCCCACAACCTCCTGAGGGATTCCATTTTCACTGTCAAACAGCTTTTACTGTTAGAAAGTTATTCCTGATCTTTAGTTGGAATCTCCTTTCTTGTAACTTGAAGCCATTGGTTCAAGTCTTAACCTCCAGAGCAGGAGAAAACAAGCTCGCTTGTACAACTGGGCATTGCCACCATGTAGTGTAATATCACCCTCATCCCTTGCATCCTCTCTGACAAGTAGCTGGTAAATTCTCATTAAAGCTTTACTCACCACCTTTCGTCTGTCAGTGTACCTCCTTCCTCACTCCCATGTCATGACTGTTAAGTTGTGGGTGAACATATCAGACGACACAGCGATTCTTCAGACAGCTCTTGTTTATTCACAGGCCCAGAACAGAACTGGACTGAAGGGTTCAGCCAACCTGCTTATATAGAGCTCAACTACAAAGCAACAGTAACAACTTTCTGTAACTATCCAATCACTGAACGTCACTTTCAGTTCCTTATTTGCATATGTGGACCTGAGTGAAAACTATCTACAGTATCCCCCTGCTGGCCCAGGGTGAGAACTTCAGTACATAACAATGACCGCTGGTGTTGTGCAACCTGCCTTCTCGTTTGCTTCCTCACCCTGACTTCATGGCCTGTTACCTGCCATGTAGGCCTTTTTTCCACCTTGCCTGGCAGACGGGGCCCTGACTGACTCCAGCTACAGAAGCTGAGGCTGTTGAAGAGGCCAGAGACCATTCAGGTCATTGAGCCTGAGCTTCCACAGCTATCTCCTGCCATGAACCACCATTGGCAGAATTGGCTGCAACAACATCAGCAGATATGTTTTGTGCTGAATATAATATTTTATTCTCTTGCTCATTGTGCTGTTTTAAATGTGCATTTTATGTTTGACTTCCTTTAGCAATATTTTCTTCTGAAATCTTTAAGATGATTTTTTTGGTTAACTTTGCTCATTAAATATGCATTTTGTGGTTGCCCTCCTTTGAAATGTCTTATTTTGAAAACTTTTTAAGATAATATTTTTGCTTCTTGTTAATTACGCTGCTTTGAATGTATACTTATTATTTGATTTTTTTTCTGTATTGTTTTATTTTGGATGGTTTCATTTGGTGTTTTAATGTTTGTTGTAACCGCTTTGAGATTTTTTTTCTTTAAAATATAAAGCGGTATAGAAATAATAATAATAATAATAATAATAATAATAATAATAGCATGACACTACAAATCCTCCAATCCGAGCTGCACGAAGACAGCCTTACATTTTTATGTATATACGAACACACTGTTCTTAAAACTTGAGAGATTTTTATTGGAAGCAATGTTCTAGTAAAATAAGATTTGCTGTAATTTCACTGCGGTTGTCAAAATGTGGCTGTATAATATATTTTTCTGCATTCTTTTATGAATAATTCCCTTAAAAAGAATCAGTCTCTTTCAAATTAAAAACGCAGCATGCAGCAGACATATAGTATAGAGAGAGAAACATTGTTCCTCTATCTTGGACCTTATTATATTACAGTGAAATGTTCTGAAAGGAAACATTTCAAGAATAGGGCTTAATATCTTTCTCCTTATTACAGTCTCAGAGAACAGGAAATCGTTTTTTTTTCTTTGCTTCCAGCAAACCAAAGATATATTTTAAACTCTGTGAAAACTACGATATTTTCTGAAACTTATCACAATTATCCAGCATAGACGCAGCAGGCTTCCATTTTCCTCCTATAAGGTCTGTTCTCATTTGGTGAAGAAAAAATGACTTGCATGAACTTGCTGAATTTTACATGACCCAAGAGTCAGCTTTTGTTCAAAATACACAGCTAATGAACAGAGTTACTTGTCCAGTTTATATTGCATAATGCTTCTTCCACTTAAAATGTCTCAAAGATAGCTATGGCCTAGAACACTCCTCCCCAGTGAGGTCCACCTGGCGCCTTCACTGAGATCTTCTTGAGGTCAGGTAAACGCTTACCTTTCACCCCAGGTGTTTGATGGACTAGATGTTTTTGCTGTTAGTATGCTGACAAAGCTTCCTGCAGCTGGTGTGTGTGTGTGTTGTATCTTTTTATGAATTCCATGTGTTTTGTATGAATGTGTTGATATAATAATGCACTTATGTTTCCATTTTTAAATATGTTGTACATTGCTTGGAGATCTCTCTGTAACAAGTGACTCTGGCATAATACAGGTAACTCACAACTTACACACATTTAACTTGTGCACATTCAGCCTTACGCACTTGGCTATTAAAATATATATATATATTAAGAAGGTGGTGGCCATATTGGGGGGGGGGAGAACTTTGACAATCTCACCCACTATTGCACCCAGTGTGTTGAGACAATGCGCCATTTTGGCTTTATGCACTATCCCTGGAACGTAACCCTTGGGTAAATTGAAAGTTGCCTGTAATAATATTAATAAAAATAATACTAGCCCCACTTCCTGCCATCTACCTGTGATTTTTCTCTGATTACATTAAAAGGTTTTAGTAGCCCATAGTCCCTGTCTAGGTTTGATCATCTTCCTATATACTAGCATTCTCAAGACTTTTGAAAGAATAGCCACTGCAGCCCCATTTGGGGATTTTATTAATAGTTAACATGTGAGAAAGGTACGCGGGTGGCGCTGTGAGTTAAACCACAGAGCCTAGGACTTGCCGATCAGAAGGTCAGCAGTTCGAATCCCCGTGATGGGGTGAGCTCCCGTAGCTCGGTCCCTGCTCCTGCCAACCTAGCAGTTTGAAAACACGTCAAAGTGGAGGTAGATAAATAGGTACCACTCCAGCGGGAAGGTAAACGGCGTTTCCGTGCGCTGCTCTGGTTCGCCAGAAGCGGCTTAGTCATGCTGGCCACATGACCCAGAAGATATACGCCAGCTCCCTCGGCCAATAAAGCGAGATGAACACCGCAACTCCAGAGTCAGTCACGACTGGACCTAATGGTCAGGGGTCCCTTTACCTTTACCTTTAACGTGTGAGAAGGCAGTGGGACAACATAGAACAGCCCCTCCCCATTCCCATCTAGCTCAGTAATATCTGCACTGACTGGCAGTTGCTCCCCAAGGCTTCAGAAAGGAAATGTTTCCTAATTCTACCTGGAGATGCTGGGGTTTGAACCAGGAACCTTTTGCATACAATGCAGCTGTTCTGCTCCTGAGCTTCAGACCTTCATTTAAAAACACCTTAGCATTCAATGACTTGTTTATTTTGCATTGTTTCAATCTGAATAATTCCTTGTCAACTGCTAGCATTCAATTGGATAACCAATGAATCAGGCATTTGTTTGTTTCTTCCCGATCCCCATTCAGTTCCCCAAACTGCCTCCTTGCCTTGCCTTTGATACAACCTTTGTGATTTCAAAATTTCCCTAAAAGGCCATCAAAGACAATTGATACCAATTTCGTGGTAAATGCACCATGTAGTCCATTTATGATCTTCTGTTGCACATGAACAAAGTGGTGCTTGTTTAACTTTGTAGGTGAGAAAGATTCTGGATATCAGAACAACAATGTTGGTAAATATAGCTGAAATTAGAGGAAACAGTGGAGAGGAAGTTCACCCAGTCTTCCCCCAACCTGGTGTGGCTAGCACTGTTGGCAGTTGCCATCCAAAACAGCTGGAAGCAACCATGTTGGGGAAGGATGTGTCAGACAATTGCCAACAGGCAAAATCTCCCTTCTGGTGTGAAGCCAAATCTCTATGCACATCTTGAGCATTGGGGTGCCTAGCAACACCCAATTATTATTGTGGGTTTGTTATCAGTTTGAAGCAATTCTGTTTTGAGGAAGAAATGCTGGCTAATGTTCCATAATGGCCAATGATCTCCCTGCAATAGCAGTTAGTGGTTGAACTTGCACAACAATCGCCTGCAATGTCAGAGCCATTTTGAAGGAACAAACTGATGGAAATGCCTCTGGGTTTATGGGAGGTAACAACAGAAGTGGAGTTTTTTCAGTGCTGCTTCCAGTCTGCAAAGGAAGAAAACCAAGGGGAAATGTGCCTGAAGGCTGCGTTGCAAGGGACTACAATGGTATGTATATATGTACAGTGGTACCTCGGGTTACATACGCTTCAGGTTACAGACGCTTCAGGTTACAGACTCCGCTAACCCAGGAATAGTACCTCGGGTTAAGAACTTTGCTTCAGGATGAGAACAGAAATCGTGCGGTGGCAGCAGCGGGAGGCCCTATTAGCTAAAGTGGTACCTCAGGTAAAGAACAGTTTCAGGTTAAGAACGGATCTCCAGAACGAATTAAGTTCTTAACCCAGGGTACCACTGTACAGTGGTACCTCGAGTTACATATGCTTCAAGTTACATACGCTTCAGGTTACAGACTCCGCTAACCCAGAAATAGTACCTCGGGTTAAGAACTTTGCTTCAGGATGAGAACAGAAATTGTGGTCCAGCGGTGCAGCAGCAGCAGGAGGCCCCAATAGCTAAAGTGGTGCTTCAGGTTAAGAACAGTTTCAGGTTAAGAACGGATCTCCAAAACGAATTAAGTTCTTAACCTGAGGTACCACTGTATTCATTTCATGCATTTCTAACCTGCACTTCACCATAAGATCTCAGGGCAGGGTGCAGTACAAATTACAATTCCCAAAACATGCAGGACACTAAATCAAGCCCAAAAGATTTTTTAAATACAGTATAAATTACAACCGTAAAAACCGCAGAACGGGCAGCTTACTTCCACATAAAAATGCTATTATTCTGCAAATGCCTGAGCAAGCAACTTTGTCTTTTCCTGGCACCCAAATGAAAACGTGACTCATGACATTGCAAAACGTGATGGGGCAAGGAATGTCATACTACTCATACCAGGTTCCCAAGATGCATTTCAGTGACATGTATGCATTTTTAAAAATCCAGTGATGTTGCAAATGATCACAAAAGAGGCATTTTGTCAGAGTTTATAATACTGGATTTGTAATCTTTGTTGCCCAAATCATAAAAGTATCAGGGTGTCCATCACTAAAGTTAGAAATTTAAATCTTGCATTCATAAATCCATTCTACTCCAATTTTGCATTAAACTGAGCTTTTTTTAAGTCCAGAGAAAATAGGCATTACATCCCAATATACACATTTCTAAACACGTTTTATCCTAAAAATATTCATTTTGGACTTTTAATGAGCTAAAAAATGTATTGCAAAATTTAGGGAAGTGCAAAATTTATGACAGATATGATCCAATTTGTGTATTAGTCCAGGGGGTGTGAACTGGCTCATTTCGTGTAAAAATGCAGACCAAATGAAAATTTCCTTCCCCCCTACTCATCATTAAACAGGAATAATTTCTCCATTCTCAGTCAGGGCTGAGTAGAACAGGAACTGAAAAACATTATAGGTAACAATGGATTTTCAAAAAGCAAATGAAAGCACACTTGGGTGTTCCACTTTGGATATTTTCCAAAATAACTACAGATGACTTAAATCTATTTATTCTGTCAAGAAAAGATAAAAGTGAAATAACTTGTTGAAAGCATCCAGCAGGAAAATAACTCTTCTACCTATCCTTTAAAAACTACTGTAACAATTGTATTTTTCATCCAATTTCTCCTCAGGCACTTAGGCAATCACTCAAACACACCAAGGAGAGTCTCAAAACATTTCTTGGCTATGCTCTACAGTTAGCTTAAGTGTTGCTGTTGTTGTTAAATGTTGGCATCCATCTGTCTTGGGAGACAATGAAGGAGTGCGTCTTTGGGGGTCAAGTAAAACCTCTGGAGAGTTGTGGTGCTTGCTGCGGATGTAGAGACCGATACAGGACAGAAATGCTTCATTGCAGCTGGGGCACATGCAGGTGTCTGGTTGTGCTGCTACAGGTGCACAATGGTGTTTCTTCTCTCCGCACTCCTGCTAGCGATCATTTCTCCTCTGATCACTGCTGTGGATGCATAACCTGACTGTCTGTCTCCAGGCACTATGGTCATCTGCAGGGCATTCCCACAAGGGGGCCAACTTGAATAAAATATGGAGCGGCTGATAAGCCCTGCACCGCATAATCAATCACACACCATTTGAATGGCAATGCCCATTAATTGGGGTGGGGGGATGGGCTGGCCACCTCAAATATTTTACTGGGGGAGCAAAGCCACCTCGGCTCCTAGGAGTTGGCTCCTATAGATTCCCAGGACGGGGAAACTTGGCGGTTGAGATCAAGGTCAAGGCGGTGGCAGTTCCTCTGCCGCTGCCATTGCTGCAGCATCAACATCCCCCTTCTCCGCTTCTGGGTGACGCTGCCGTGGCCAGCACTGAGCGACAGAAGGCCATGCCGACAAAATGGAAATGCACCCCCGAACAGAGTACATTCGTATACCAAAAAAATACGCAACCCAGAACACTTACAGTGGTGCCTCGCAAGACGAAAAGAATCCGTTCCGCGAGTCTCTTCGTCTTGCGGGTTTTTTCGTCTTGCGAAGCAAGCCCATTAGCGGTTTAGCGGATTAGCGCTACAGTATTAGCGGCTTAGCGGGCTTAGCGGGCCAGCTGATAAGCGGCTTAGCGATCAGCTGTTAAGCGGCTTAAGGATCAGCTGATAAGCGGCTTAGCGATCAGCTGTTAAGCGGCTTAGCCGATCAGCTGATAAGCGGTTTAGCGGCTTGGGGAAAAGGGGGGGGGAGGAAAAAAAACCCGCAGGAACTCGCAAGACATTTTCGTCTTGCGGAGCAAGCACATAGGAAATTCGTTTTGCGAAGCACCTCCAAAATGGAAAACCCTTTCGTCTAGCGGGTTTTCCGTCTTGCAAGGCATTCGTCTTGCGGGGCACCACTGTATTTCCGGGTTTGAAGTGTTTGTAATCCAAAATGTTCATTAACAAGGCTGTTCGTAACCTGAGCTACCACTGTATGTTAATTACTGGAGTCCAACAATGGGGGGGGCAGTGGAGGGGTTGAGCTCTTTGTTGGGGGGGGGGGCCTTGATGCCGAAGATTAGACCTTTTGCCCATGAAACATGCACTCTACCAATGACCTTTCCCCCAAGTTTGTAGTTTTGCATTTTTCCATCTGCCTCGCTGAGGTCGGGAATTAGTTTCTTAGGCTTAGCTTCCTGCTCTATTAAAAATCTTCCAGCCCCCCGTGCCTTGGTTTTGCACTTTGTCATGGCAGTTAAGATGTTAGCCTCTGAGGAAATCCAGGTTCAGTTGAGGCTGTGGTTTGCTTCCAGCTCACTTTGAGCAGCAATGGCAAATCTAAGCAGCAAAATGAATATACAAGAGACCTAATTATTCTGGGGTGGTGGTGGGGAGAGAGACTTTGAAATTACCTCCTCTCGCAGGGTTCTTTGATGACAAGATTAGGAACAAAGTTGTTATGTGGCCTTCGTTTCCATGTTCATCTGCTGGTGCATGATACGCCATTATCGCTCGTGTAAAGATCATTAGCTTCAATTCTTCTGGAGACAGCAGTGCTGAAGTACTTGTAGCTGACCTCTCCAAGATTCCGATCTGCCTTGGGGTCTTCCACATACACATGTACCGCAAAGCTTTAAAGTGCCTTTTGAATTAAGAAAACCAAGCTGTGCTTTAAAAAAAAAAATTAACTACACTAGAAATAGAACTATAAAAAGAAAGGAAAAAACGAGGTCAGCACAAGAAAGAGAAGGAATAAGGAAGACTGTGAACAGCAACTGAAGGAGGAGAAAGAGGCACATGAAGTGGTGGTGAGATCTTCGCACAGAGCCTTTCAGGATAATTTTTCGGGGCCAAATGCATAGCATGAAGGCACATTCAGGAAGAGTGTGCTGGAACAGGAAGCATTTACAAGCCTCAGGTGCCTGCAGGCTTGATGAATATGGATAAAGAGCCTATTTCAGAGCACAAGGCCAGCTCTGATAAGCCGCATTTCTCAAGGACAGAATATAAAATAAGGCTTTGCCTACCAGCCTTCATGAGCTTCGGAACAGGTGTTTTCTGAAGTGACCCATTCCCCCCACCCAACTTAAACATCTTAAATAAAGCTTGGAGCCCAACAGGAAGCCAGCAAAGTTGGCCCAAACAGGGCTGGATTCAACTAAATAGCTACGCTCTGACAGGAACCAATGCAGTGAGTTCTGCTAGCTCAATGGGGCTTTCTCTTCCTCCTCCTATGCATCCCCTGCACTCCTCAAATCAGCTCAGGTGGTTGGGGCGAGGGCAGGAGAACCCCCAGAGCAGCACACAGGGAAGGAGAGGAGAGATTGTTCCATCCAGCAAGCAGAAACCTTGGCTCAATGTTGAATCCCACCCTGAGACTGTACATTTATACCTCCTCATATCCATATGGAGGCTCAACAGAGCATCCCTTGTCAGCCGTAGCTTTCCGTCAAGGCAGCTGCACATAAGCTGCATTGCAGTAAGCGATGGTTCTCGTTACGTAAGGTTTGAATTATGGGAACCAGGAAAGAGTGAACTTTGCATTGGTGCAGAAGGACCCAAGAGTTCAGGAGCAGCATTCTGTCAAGGAGTGCTTCCAGACACAGGGCCAGCCAGTATCGTGTAGCACAGGGATGGGGAATCAGAGAATCAGAAAAGTGGAAGAGGCCACAATGGCCATCTAGTCCAACCCCTGCAATGCATGGGTCTTTTGCCTGAACCCATGACCCTGAAATTAAGAGTCTCATACTCAACCAGCTGAACTATACATGGAATCTGTGGCCCTTCAGATGTTTGGCTGCTGATAGGAGTTGGAGTCTAACAGCACCTGGAGTGCCACAGGTTCCCTACTCCTTGTATAATGAATGAAGCCTTGAGTGAAGAAGACCTGCTTTCAGATCCAAGACATAGCCTTATCTTATACACATTTTAAAGCATTGGTGACAGAGTAAATACTCATCGTCTGCAACCTTTGCTTTCAAGTTGCTTCGCTGATACAAATCCTGCTTACCTCTGTGGTCATGTTGTGCGGGTGCCTGATGATCATCTTCCAAAGCAACTACTCTATTCCGAACTTAAAAATGGAAAGTGTAATGCTGGTGGTCAACAAAAGAGGTTTATAGACTGTCTCAAGGCAAATCTAAAAAGATGTAGTATAAACACGGACAACTGGGAAACACTAGCCTGCAAGCGCTACAGTTGGAGAACAGCCTTTACCAAAGGTGTCATGGGCTTTGAAGACACTCGAACTCAGGACACAAGGGAGAAACGTGCTAAGAGGAAGGCACACTTGGCAAATCCACACCATGATCAACTCCCACCCGGAAACCAATGTCCCCACTGTGGAAGGATTTGTGGATCCAGAATTGGCCTCCACAGTCACTTACGGACGCATTGCTAAAACCGTGTTTATGGAAGACAATCTTACTCAGCTACAAGTGATCGTCAAAGAAGAAGAAGAAGACGACCACCTCTGTGGGGTAAAAGACTGTTGCTTTTAGCTTATTGAATACAGACTTGGAATAGGAATCCAATGGTTTCCATGGCAACCCTGAGGGAAAGCCAAATAAGTGGTTTATGCAGAGTGTTGACTTTCTAAGTGAGGTTCGGTATGTAAATGTTAACTGCTGTTTGTTAAACTGTTGTGATATGCTCCTGCGAAGGACTTCTTAATTAGATCTATCAGTCCTTGTTTCAAACACCTTGTATGAAATGCACTTATCGGAGCCTGATCCTGCACATATTTACTCAGAGATACATTTCAGAGTTTGGTGGGAGTTGCTTCCGAGGAAGCATGCACAGAATGCAGCCCCATAAGGGGAGCTCTGCTGGGTCAGACCAAGAGGTCACCTCTAGTCCCACCTTCCATTTCCCATAGGGGCCAGCCAGACTGCCCCAGGAAGCCCCCAAGCAAGATGTGAAGGCAGCACAGTATGCTCCTACCCTACAACAACTGAAAATATACCTCTGGAACTTGGGAGTGTGAGACCTCATGAAGATGAATGAGCAGTCTTAATGGTCACAGTCTGCTGAGTTCTGTTAAAGCAGGGTGGGTGGGATGGAAGAGAGTATCCTGGAAAGGACATGACTGGCTGGCTGGGATCCTGAGCAGTAGCACTTGGTGCTATGAACTTTTGTTCGAGGTTCCACTTGTTCCAACCCAAAGGGTGGGAGAAACTGCAAAACCTTCCCATGGAGGACTGAGCATGCTGACCAACTATTGGTAAAGGGAAAGAAATAAAACCTCTGGCAAAAAAAAATTTAAAAAAATTAAGGCAAAGAAGAAATCACTTTTGCTCATATACAAAACTCGCAAACTGTATTTTTTGGTTTGGGGATTTAAAAGTGAAAGCATCTTCTTCTTCTTCTTCTTCTTCTTCTTCTTCTTCTTCTTCTTCTTCGGGTTGCCATATTTCAAAAAGTAAAAAACCAGGACCGCCCCCCAAGTGATTTTTCAATTGACTTGCCTAAGATCAAGGACACTGAGCCCAGACGTCAAGAAATCCCGGTACATATGGCAGCCCTATTGTTATTTTTACATGATCCTTGGTTTGTTTACATCTCTGTGGTTCTGTTGGCTTGCAGTATGCAAAACATAGCCTCTTCCAAGAGAATGTCTAAAGCCTTAATCCCATCCTTAAGGCAAAAGTCATTAAAAGAAAAAAACTAACATGTTTGCAATTTGCAAAACAAGATAGTTATTATGCCAAAGTAGACTGCATCATCTTATTGCTATAACCTTTGCACTTCCTTCCTTCCTTCTGCCACCCCGATATGAGTCAGAGCACTTTTAACAACTTCTCTGAATAACCCAATTCTGCAATTTGATCCCTGTAGGCAACTTAATACATCCGCATGGTGTATACACCCACACGCCCCGCAATTCAGTCTTCGTCCTTTTAACTAAGAGCTGGAGAAGGGGCCTCACCCATTTGCCATCTGGCACAGAGCCCCCTCTCCTTTGCTCTCTAAATTGCCCATCACCCAGGCGATTTCCTCCACACAGGAAGCTAACCTGTCTTATTTTGCTTTTAACACTTTGCTAGGATTATAGGTATCTGGCACCTACAAACTCATGAGAGATTTCAGGGAGAAGAGTAGCAAAACCTGCAATTCAGTCCTAAAGTTAGCTGCACCAGAAAAATCGGTGAGATAAATGTTAACTAAGTCAGCTAGATACATATAGTCATACATGCATACATATCTGGTTAATGCCATCGCAACTATAGCCTGATTTCTGCGCAGTTCATGAGTCTTGCTGCCCTTGCAGTTGCCTTGTTAGCCCTGAAAGGACAAGTTGACAGGTGCCAACATTATTCACTTGGGCAAACAGCATGAAGGTGAGATGCTGTGAAACAAAACTGAAATTGCTCCAGGCGTGCAGATGCTTGTCAGCAACTTACAGGGTGAAAGAGAAGCACTGTCCCTTTTCTTTCTTGCCAAACCATTTTCTTGTCCTGAAAAGCCCATTAAACTCCAGATTACAAGATTTGCTTGCTGTTTGGCTGCCTAGTTCACTGTGCATAAGGGTTAACCCAAGAAAGCTTTTGGATAAAATATTAGAACAGGAACTGCTTGCCTGAGAACTGAACGCAGCCCTTCAGCCCTTTCTGAGAACCGTCCCTCAGCCACAGGCCACCCCCCTCACAGGAGGCCTAGTTTTCTACCTCAAGCCCCAGTGTTTTGCCTGACTGGAATGTGTATCCCTGCTCTGATAATGCCTTCTTCTTGCCCAGATGGAGGATAGAGAAGGGCATAGATAGAAACTAGCTTATCGTACAAAGTTTGAATTCATGGTTTATCATTCTACCCATTTCAGCCTCTGGCACTATTCGCCACTGGCATGTGGTCCTCAGAACGTAGTCCCAAAAGTAACATGCTCCTCAAGCTGAAAACCTTTCTGCTCAGATAGCTGTCAGTCAGCAGAGCATGAGACTCTTAATCTCAGAGTTGGGGGTTCAAGCCCCACATTGAAAAAAGATTCCAGCATTGCGGGGTGGGGGGGTGGACCCTTCCAGCTTTACAATTCTATGATTCCATTATCTGTAGATTAGTATATCCTGATATCTTTCGCTGGTGCCATGTAGTGTAGGTTCTGCGGTTTGTTTATTATTTTTAGGCACCTTCATCTTTACTAAGCACTCTGCACAGATTAAAAATAACCCTGTCCTTGTATGTCCCTTCACAATTTAAAAGATGCAACACAAGAGGAAAAACGGTGGGGAACAAAGAGGAAAATAAGCAAACAGGCACCAGTTTAAAACTACATAGTTCTTATAACCAGCAGGTTGAATAGGAACAGATGAGAGAAGAGGAAACAAATGGTAGCTGGTCCTTCGTGTGCGGTATGATGGACTCTGGTCCCTATAGCAGCAGCAGCTGCTGCAGTAAGTCAGTCCAGGCCAGGTGGATATTACCCAGCAATGCAGGGAGCAGGTCTTGCAGCATTTAGGATGGCCAACAGTAGGAATGAATTTGGCTCTGCCTAGGAAGCAAAAGATTGGCTGCGAGATAGACAGATTGATAGTTCTGTCTCAGAGGAGTACAGTATTGTAACTCAGGGGAATTTGCCTCCCTTGCTTCTCTCTTAGGTTACTCCTAGGCCACTTGTTTCCTGCACATTCATTCTGGTAGCATGGCATCAAGCATATGATCTTCTATACCATGGGTAGGCAAACTAAGGCCCGGGGGCTGAATCGCCTTCTAAATCTGGCCTGCGGATGGTCCAGGAATCAGCATTTTTTTACATGAGTAGAATGTGTGCTTTTATTTAAAATGCATCTCTGAGTTATTTGTGGGGTATAGCAATTCGTTCATTTCCCCCCTCAAAAAATATAGTCTGGCCCCCCACAAGGTCTGAGGGACAGTGGGCCAGCCCCCTGCTGAAAAAGTTTGCTGACCCCTGTTATACTTTCCAGTGTATTTCCTCCTCCCTTTCTTTACTGCGATAAGTCCACTTTGGGGGGAGGGAGCAGGTTCACTGCCGAAGCCCTTCAAACCAACTTTAATTGCGCAACCTGAATTTGATGGCATGTGATTGAATCATACCCAGAAATAGCAACGGCTTTTCTTTCTCTTTCTTTCCCTGTGTTTGACATGCCCTCTATTGCGGGTGAGACACAGGTTCAGGCATCCTCTATTAGTTTTAACAAGTGGTTGGCGATCTCTTTGATGTCAAGATGATCCCAGAGGGAAGGGGAGTAAGACTCCATAAGCGCATTAATAGATTCACCACCTTGGATGTTACTCAGAACCATATAGGGAAAAAGGTAAAGGACCCCTGGATGGTTAACTCCAAAGGCGACTATGGGGTTGTTGCGCTCATCTCGCTTTCAGGCCAAGGGAACCGGCGTTTGTCCACAGACAACTTTCTGGGTCATGTGGCCAGCATGACTAAACCACTTCTGGTGCAACGGGACACCGTGACGGAAGCCAGAGCACACAGAAAACCATTTACCTTCCTGTCACAGCGGTACCTATTTATCTATTACACTGGCATGCTTTCAAACTGCTATGATGGCAGGAGCTGGGGCAGAACAACAGGAGCTCACCCCGTGGTGTAGATTTGAACCACCGACCTTCTGATTGGCAAGCCCTAGGCTCAGTGGTTTAGACCACAGCGCCACACATTATATAGAGCAGGCCCTCAGAATAGCATTCCATTTTTATCATCTAGAAACAGTCAGCATGTTTAAGCTGATGGCAGCTATTTTGCAGTAAGCTAATGAACATATTAGCATCCAATTACAAAAGTGAACCTACCATGGTGACAA